CATCCCCCCCCAATTCGGCGCCTTGTAGCCATTGGCAACAGTCAAGCTCAGTTTCCCAAGCCCATCCTGTATGGCCGAAGCAGGATGCAACGTGCAGTGAGCAGCAGAGCCAGGAGCAGGAAAGGCGGCAGCGCCTGCCCACGGCAAGGTGGCACCCCCGGGCTGCTGTGATGTGGGATTGAGCGCAGCTGAGGGGTTGCCTACCTCGGTAACATGCGTGAAGAAGGGCACCGAGGTGGTCTTGGGACACGAGGGCGCCACCTCAATGTACGTGCTCAGGGAGGCTGCAGCAGGAGCAGAGGGGGCGGCCATCAGGAATTGCAGCAGCAGTCAGGCAAGCTGCTCCTGATCTTGGTCTTGGGGCAGCAAATGCGTGCAGACAAACACAGAGGTTGCTCGTATGAACACTGGCTCAAAGTGGATCATCATCCAGGGATTGGGAAGCAACTTGCCTGTCTGCACGCCACCCAAGACGGTGTCGGTTGCTTTGCCTTGGACTGTCATCTTGTGCCAGCCAGGCCCCACATCTTTGTTCATGTTGATCATCACCGGCTCGTCATACAGGAAGCCGGTCTTGTTGCGCCATACTTTGCCGGGCTTGTCCTGCAGCGAATGCAATTGTCTTGTTGAAGTTTTGAAGCGTTCTCCGCTGCTGCCTGTGTGCCAAGGTTGCCACTCTGGCATTTGACGACAGGTCGTTGGCTGGGCAAAGTAGTTTCCCACCCGCCCATGCCATCTCACCACGTCAAAATCGTCGTCAAAGGTGATGATGTGGCGGGCTACAGGGTAGCCGGGATACTCAGCATCTGCCTTTGGCGGCTCAGTGATGCGGGAGGCCTTGATTTGCATGCGGTAGACACCGCCAACGGGGATGAGGAAGATGGGCCACACGTTCACCACCTGCAACCGGAACCAAACCGGCCTTCATCACCAGGCGCAACAATGACACCGCAGTAGCTGGTAGTCGACAGGGACTCCCCGCCCAGCAAAGCAGCAGCGCTTTGCTCACCGTGAACTGCGTGTCATCTGTCCACCCCTTCATCTCAAGCCTGTGACTGGTGGGGTC